AGACGACCTGAAAACCGATTTGGCCAACTTTTTCGTAGCGCAGCCGCCAGAGTTCTATTGGAATGGCATCCATAGTTTGCATAAACGTTGGCGTGAAGTGATAGAGGCCAATGGTGATTACATTCATGATTGAGATGATTTTGCTTTTAAATAAACTGGGTTATAATAATTGTTCATGAAATTCCGAGAACTTTCTTTCCAATCAGATACTTCCTTCTCCAAAAGCAGAATTAATGCTTCTTGCTGCCTGCGATGCACTATGGTTCAATTTATACTCGTATAAAAAAAGAGCACGAGTTTCTTGTGAAGAAACCATTTTGAAGTACCTACAAAAACAAAATAACGGTACAATAGAATTAACTAGAAATGACGTATTCTGAAGCACCTCCTACCTCTTCTAACTCTGTATAGCTCTGATATAATTTTAAGAATTTCTGTATTCACAATTGTGATCACTTGTTAAGTAACTGAAAATCGGACATTTCATACCTAACAACCTAATATGAATCATTGTCCTAAATTATGGAAACTTTTTTTTTTTTTTTAAATAGGTTTTAAGAAGTGCAGATCTGGTTGGGAAATATTCAGACTCTTCTATCTGGGTGAAACTGATTCTGTCCTTCATGGACTCCCATTCAAACAAAGCTGCTGTCCTGAGAGTTCTTGCACATCTTCTCAGGGGTCTACAAAAGAACATCTGTCTTGATGACAAGTTACTGGAAACTGTCCAATCCCCAATGTTGTGCCACAGCTTCAAGGTAGGGAGATTTTATTTCCAAAAGCCTATTCACCAGGGTATTAGACCAATTAAAAATATTTATTACTGGTTAATTGCTCCTGGGAATGCCATATTGCATTGTTTTTTTGGAACTTTTTAATCTAACCTTTCCACTCTGTTTAGAATGGCTTGGTATCAGTCTCTTTTTGATAAAATGGTTCATAGGTTGAGTATTGACTATGGCTGTGCTGGTGGCCATATATGGGCTGATGGCCAAAGAAAACTGCAGAAATTTGTGCACTTGTGAAATTGACTTTTTTCATTTTCTTGCTTAAGTCTAATAATATGAGCAGGGGTCTATAGATAAAGAACAAATCATCATGATATAAAATACTCATTAAAATAGGCGTATTAAGAAGCCATGCTTAACTTTTTTAGTGTCATCGTGATGGCACTTAGGGTTTGGAAAACAATGTATTTGACTTGAACTATCAATTTGACATTGGTGCAATATGGGGGGGAGGGGGAGGGAGAGATGCCAGCAGATTCAGTCATCTCTCATTGCAATCAGGAGGTTTGACTTCCATTATTTCTTGTCTCAATTGGGATGGGGTGGGAGTTGTGACTATTGTGATGAGAGAATAAAGCTATTGATGCCGCAAGTAATAGATATCATCGCTACATTGATCAATGCATTGTGACAGCCCTAATTTTTCCTTTTGGTATTGTGAATCGTTAATCAGGCTTGTTCTTTTTTTTGTTTTCTGTGTGCTGTGTGTTTTCTCTGCTCAACACAATCTTCTTTGGGCATCAAAAGCTTACAAACCTACCTACCAATGACTGATAGCACCAATGGTGCCATACTGGCAGCTGATTCCAATGGTTGCCAGTGCATCAGTACAGCCTTAGTATTGACAGCTTCTAGTTGAACAAAAATGTCTATGTATGCTATTCAGTTACAAAGGAAAGCTTCATTCCATGCTCAATTTTCAGGATGTCTTGTCTCCAGGGACTATGTGAACATGAAAGAGTAAGCAGAAAAAGATCCTCTTACCTCAGTCAGGTGCAGAGGCAAGAGGCATTGGTCCAAACTTTGCTTCCTGTGATCATTGGACTAAGTGTTATCCACTTAAGGCATTATTTTGCAGATAGTGCTACTGATAGGTACTGGCATGAGCTTGAGTCTTTTTGCAACATAGTTTCATCAATGACTTTATCGTGGTATGAGTCTGGCTTTGCCATCAATGGCCATCTAAATTATTTCCCTTGTGTGGTGCTCAGACTGTGGTGGAGTGATGTTCCACCAGAAATTTTCCTTCAATGCAAATGCCATGTACAGGGTTTTCCAAGATTCTAGTAACATATTAGCACAATCCTATTCTGCCTTATCTGCCTTGTGCTTGGCATCAGTGGCATCATGTAATGCTATTTTTTGGCCAAGCTGCTGTCTTATATTCTGTTCCACTCTGTACACCATCACAAAACCTATGGGAAAAATTTTCAGTGTGCTACCATTTTACCAGAATTATGAGATACCTTGTACTTTGGTATCCAAGATCATACTGTAGTGAATGTTTTGGAATCAGATTTCAGGTGTAAGTGCCCAGTGTTGACAATGCTCATAGTGGTTATTAGTGAGTCTTTTCTGAAACAATCTGCATCATTGCTCCAAATATTGGGTCGATTGGAAAGTTCTGACCGTTTTGAGAACATTCCATACAACTGAGTCTTTTAAAAAAGCAAAAAAGTTCATTCAATGAAGTAATCACTATCACAGTCACCTTCTGCCAATGATCAGGCAGACTCCTGATTCCATCCCTGTAGAACTGAGCTGGCTGTGAGTTGTCGTGCAGGAATCGAACGCAATGGTGCCCTGGCCTCACCGTGCGGAGTTTGTCGGCGAGCTTCTGCAGCCGATTGCAGTAGTAGGCGGCGGTGATGCTGGTATCGGGTGGGAGCAGCTCGAAGTAGATCACACCTTGCATGTCCTGCTAAATGCACAACATGACTTTTCGGGGGTGCAGGTCACCTTTCGGCTCTGGCTGGGCATCAGCATTGACCCACTGGCACCTGCATCGGTAGTTGATGTACAGCATCCACTTTTCGTCTCCAGTGACTATGGAATCCAGCTAGTCATTCATGCACTTGTACGACAGCAGTGAATGCACACCTCAGCATGGTGTTCGCGGTCGCAGTCGGTCAGATCATGGGGTACCCACTGACCTGACTTGCTCTTCTTGCCAATTGCAGTCAGATGTGTCACAATCATGGACTGGGTGCAGCCAAGTGCTGTTGCTAAGTTGTGGGTACTTTGCCTCGGATCGGCTTCCACTGTGTGCTGCAACTGCTTGTCGTCGATTTCAGATGGGTGGCCTGACCTGGGCTCATCCTCGAGGCTGCCATTTCCAGACCGGAAACGATCAAACCATCGTCACGATGTCCTTTCATAAACTGCACCTTGGCCAAGCACGGCACAGATGCAGCGACTCGATTCAGCTGCTGTGATGCCAGATAGGAAGTCGTAAAGAAGGCACTGACGTCGGGCGGTCTTGTTAAAGTCAATTTTGGAAGTCATGGTTATAGGCTTTAAATGACTAAGCAACTGCTGCATAATCATGCCCACACACCCTTTATATACTGCTACTGTGGAAGGTTCGAGAAAGTTCCAGAAATTTTTTTTCTGGAAAATTCTTGAAACAGACAGAACTTTCCGATCGACCCAATATCTGTACTGTGATACAGATATGTGGGGCTCTCATTTTGGTTCAGTGTCATTCCAAGCCTTTTACTCATTTGATGATCTATAGAAGAAGGAAGTAACATTTACTTCCAGAAAATTATCATGCTTACATGGAAGGGATGTGCTCTGTTATTCTCTTTCAATATACTAACATTTTGAATGAAAAATGTAGATCTTTTGCTTTGCACACTTCATTATAAACTTTTTAGGATAAAAAAAAAGCAGATACATCACAAATTCCAGAAAAGTTTGGGTCATGGGCTTTATGGAGACAGAAGCATGCTTTTCCTTGGGCTAGTTGATTAAAGCCAGTTTCTATCAGTTTAGGGCAGATGAGTGACTTGGTTGGTACCAAGCTTGGCTCCCATAGCAGGGAACCTTTGTTTGGAACCAGCCAAGTGAGTTATTCATTTCCAAATGCAAGCCTTAACAAGTTTGGTAAAGGAGACACCAGAGCTTCAGGCACTCCCTTTTCTTGATGTGATACAGAATCTTGGGAATGAAGGCCAAACCTGGTTACAAAATCTTCTTATCTCAATGTGTTCCAAGCATTTACATGATAATTGTTTTTTCCTTTCAGTATTTTTAGTTCTAGTTACCTTCTGTCTAACTCTGTTGGGCTTTGGTTTACTATCAATCGGTTGTCTTAATGTCAGGTGCCACTTGGAATCAAGTTCAAAATATACCATTCCAAAAAGAAATTCAGCAGGTGAGATGGGCCCTTCCATCTTCCCTTGATCATCCTGTTGAAACCCCTGCAAAAGTTCTCTTGTATCATGCACTAAATAAAATATGAAGAAAACTTTCCAATTGAACAAAATTTGTTGTGATTGTGGTATGGAATTTCAACCCATGAACAAGAAATTGAAATGCTGTAGCCACTCAATAAACTTGGGTGTGCACATAGTTTCTTTTTGGAATGGGGTATTAATTTGACTATCATCTGTGACCTAGGCTAGAAAAACCTACCACTTTTTGTGCAGCTATCTTCTATCTGACTGCCCATGAAAGATTGAACGATGTTATGAAAGGTTGAAAATGCACATTTGAAATGCAGGGATCTTCTGTAGTGGATCAAGTATGTTCACCTGGACCATTTTTTGAGAATGGATTGCATATTTATGGAAAACTCCCATTGGCATCTGAGCCCCTGCATTTCTTGGACTTTGTACTTATTTCTGCGGATGTTATTTTCACAAACAGGCTGAGATACAAGAAGAACTCTTGGCTTGCACCTGGGAGCTGTATGAAAAACTTGAGAGGAGCACCAGAATGGCAGAGGAACTATGCCATGTGTTGCTGGGGATTTTGGCTCTTACTTCTAATGAGGATCTCAGAGGGTCAGCTGAAAAGCTCCTGGTTACAGTTGCACAGAGTGATGATTCCAGTATGGAACAATTGATCTTGAATCATGTGAAACTCCAAGCACCTTCCTGGAAGAGTCAATGTGTGACATGGGATGCATTGACTCCAGATTTCCTCATTTTCAATTTTGTAGCAGAAAGGGGTGAGCTAACATTTTATTATCCTTCCTATTTTAGTTGTATGTGATGTGAATAGTCTGACACTGATGTGACTGAACTGCTTTAATGTTAATGATTAGAAAGGAATATTCACATGGATTTTTTGTTCCTTGAACTTATATTCCCATCATCAGTTGGATCTGAACAAAGTTAGTTGTGTTGCTAGAAAAGTATTTTATAATGTACATGCTCATGTTTGTGTCATATGTAATCATTGCATTGAAGGACAGAATCTAGAATGTCTGCCATCCCTTCAATTTCTTGATATAAATTTTTCTTTATCAAATTGTGATTTGACAAGATAAGGCTGAAGGAGTCCTTAGATACAGACACTCAATGTCATTGTTCTTGTTTGCTACCCCCATTAGTCCTTGTACAGGGTGTTTCAGTCAATTAGTCACCATTTCAAAATAATATAACTTTTAATGTATACCAGCTACAGTGGCGATTTGCATGCCACTAAACAGAGCAGACTTCAAAGTTTTTTTCCTTTGCAGTTCAGCTTGAGGTATGCTCATTTGCTCATTATGACAACCACGCACATTGTTGACAATGCTGACGTGTACAAGCATGCTATTCATTAAGCTACTCAGCAGTGCAATGTCACTCACTGTCTGTAGCTCTCTTGAACACTTTTTCCTTTAGAGGTGACATCCACCAGATTCGTTTAACTTTAAACTGATTCGCTTTCATAATGTGCATCTATGGGAATAAGTTTATTTCTGTTAAACTGATTCCCATAGGGGACCATTGTGAGATAAAATTAGTTTAGCTTAAACAGATCAGTGCATGTCACCCTAGGTCAGTGGTTCCCAGACTTCTTTGAATCATGACCCACTTGCTGACTTACAGAAAATTTTGTGACCCACCAGAATCCAGAATGAGGTATTTTCAAAGTAATTATGAAGTGAAGAAAATTGATCGACCTTTTCTGCAGGGCTTGATATATCCTGAGCAGATGGGGATATAATGACTTTTATACTGGGAAAATGTACCGCCCCACCTTGATGCCCACCGCGACCCACAGTTTGGGAACCACTGCCCTAGGTATCCCTAAACAAAAAGAAAAAGTTGCATGGGTTGAAGTCAGGGCTAGTTGGGGACTACAACAAACTACTGTTGAAGATGTGTAGATAGCGGTTTGAGATGATGTGCTCACGAAATTTAATGTGTTAATGCAGGGGTGTCAAACTCAAATCGGTCGGAGGGCCGCATTCCCTACCATACAGATGCCTGCGGGCCACACCCATAATTTTCCACTGAAATTTGTGGTGACAGTCTATCAAAGCAGAAATTTCTAAAACACAAGGCGGGTCAGATGAACCACCTCTGTGGGCTGGATCCGGCCCGCGGGCCGTATGTTTGACACCCCTGTGTTAATGGGTTCTGTATCATGTTGGTAAGTGAATGAGGCCGATCTAGGATTACCAACTGCACATAAAAATATTTGCAGTCTGTTCAATTAAATGGTAGGAGAGTCGTTGTGACAACTCTTATACTTTAAGAGTTATATTGTTTTAAAATGGTGACTAATTGACTGAAACACCCTCTATGTCATATTCTTCCATAATGTCATAAATCAAGGAAAATTCTGAATGAACTTTAAGGAAACTGGCTTTATATTCACTTTATACTTAATACTACCAGCTCCTGTTGGTAGTATTGAGTATGAAGTGAGTATAATGGTGGAAAATCCTATTTCATTTAATTATTCTGACATGCAAGGAATTTATGGGAGGAGTCTCAGAATGTATTTGCCATAAATAACCTCTTATGCAGAATGGAAGTTCTTCAAATCTTTTTTTGTGGAGAAGACTCATTCATTAATATTATGCTGCTTTTAAAGGTGTTAAAGAATTCCTGTCAAAACTTGACCCCAAATTGCAGCTACTCATATTCAGACTTAACTTTACCAAGTATGTATTAGAATTAGGGCTGTCACGATAGATCGATGCATCGATACCACTATCAATAGCTGGAGATATCGATATTTTTTTCAACCATCCCGATGCATCGGCAAAATATTTTAAAAGGGAAATGTCCCATTGGATTGAGACAAGTGCTGTACAATACAGTCTGTCCTGGCGGGGAAAGGAAGAAGCGGTGTGACCTGCATGGGCGTGGAATTTCTTATCACAATCAAATTCTGGAAATGCTGGGACTGACTATATGAAAGACGGGAAGGGGAAAAAAAAAGTCGGATCGGAGACAGGAAGTGGGAAAGGAAAAGGGGGGAAGCCCAAGAAAATATTTTTTTTTAATCGTCAGTTTCAGTCTCTGGCTCGATCTCATCAGGTGCATGCTCCGGAAGTGGACTGTTCTTACACTCCCTTGATTTTGAAACATACATTGGTTAATCCCCTCTCTATATTCCTGTATAGACTTTAGTATGCAGGCTTACAAACTTTCTTAATTTTTAACTTTTGCCTTGGGCGTTTTATCTCTATTTAAGGTGAAATCAAAGTGAATTTTTTACATGGACGTTGCTTATTCTAGGCCTGTACCAATGTTTCGGCAACCGCCGGTATGGCACCATCAGCAGGTTTCCTATCTGCTGGTGCTGATGCCCAAAGACAGGGTAGAACGAAGAAAATTAGGGCTGTCCTGATGCATCCATCGGTGAATGGATGTCATCTTCAATAGTTGGAGTCATGGTAGGTTTCATTACTCTTTGCAAAGATCACACATTCCCCTTGCACCCCCGATCATAAGCGTGAGATTATGAAAGAAGGGATAGAGGTCTGCGCTCCGATCGCAGTGAGAAAATATGGAATCCTCCACCCCCCCCCCCCCCCCAAGCATCGATACACTATCGATAGTTTAGGTCGATGCATCGATGTTTTGAAAACTGCTATCATGACAGCCCTAATTAGAATGTGTTGTAAAATAATTGGAGGCATACTAGGAGAAGTAATATGAAGATATGAGTAATCACCCCATCTTTTGAGTTATTTCCAGTTCTCTTTTTAGGTGAAAAATGTTTTGGTATTTTTGGGTGCAGGATTACCCTGGGATGAGCACACTTGCTCTTCCATGCTGGAAATCTATGCAGAGCTTCTGATACGAAAGGATTCAGGCGAATTGCGAGGCAAAGCTCTTATCTCCCTGTCTCAGTTTCTTTCATGTGCAACTCAGATTGATAATGGCATCAAATGGGATGCTAATTCCATATCTGAATTCATCAAAGGTGCTTTAACATTTTATATTTCCCAATAGTCCTCAGCCAGTTTCAGTTTGTGATGTCTTGTTTGTTATGATCCTGTGATAGATGTATTGATGGAGATGCTGAAATGGGAACCTGGGAGAACAGCTGGTGCTCTCAGAGCTGCAGGGATGTCATGCATCTGCCAACTGCTGAAGAAGCATATAGGCCTTCCAAAGGAGATAATTGAAAGGCTTTTATTCCACATTCTTAAACTGTTGGAAGATGATGCCCCAATCACAAGAAGGCTTGCAGCATCTGCCTGCACTTCTCTGTTCCAACATGAGCAATATGCTGCCTATATCTTGAAGGATGCAGCTAATCACTGTGCTGAAGGTATAGGCATGAATGAATGTGACATGAGTTAATTACTGTGATTTTTATGAAATTTTATTATATTTTAGACAGAGAGTTTTTGTTGAGGTATTTTTTTTTAGATTGTAGCAAAAGTAATCAGTGCTGCAATAAAAATGAAGTAGTATTCTGGAATGTTCATTGTTTGGAACCACGACTGTATTAATGCAGAGTTGGTGAAACGTGTGGATGACGTAGAGTGGAAAGTGACTGCCACTGCTCTGGAAGCTCTCAGATGTTTGACCCACCTGTTGCCTAGAGGAGAGCACTTAGACTGTTACTCCCATCTCATTGAAACTCTCCTTATTCACCTGGATGAAGATGACCCCTTGTGGAAGCAAGAAGTTTTTTGTGAGTTTTTTATGTGAAGCAAATTGTTATGTATGAGGATGTGACATAATTTTTTCTTAATGTAGTGATTGACATTGTATACTCAATCCAATAATGAGCCCTCCAGTACTTCTGTCAAAGTGCTGAGTAGTGATTAAAAAAATTATAAACTTAAAAATCTTCATGTTGCATCTCCTCCCCTTTGAAATACCAAATTTACTTCACCCCATGCCAGCAAACAACAGTCCTTACCTGACTTTACTTATGAATGTTGTGAGGGATTCCCAAAACCAAGCTTATTCCTCATGCTTCTATGAAGCAATGCACCTTGCACTTTTTGGTTTTCCAAGGAGTTTAGTGGTATTACCTCTTCCAAAGGCCACATGATATGGTGTGAGGACAGGGGAATAATGCATACCAATAGTATGTATGAATTACTCACTTGCTTTTGCATATCTTCATTTAACAGGTACCCTGAAAGCTCTTGCCAAGTGTGCACCAGATGTCCTGAAGGAAGAAATAACAAAAATACAATGGAAGCCTCAAGATCCATGCCTTCTAGAAGAACTTGAGATGTGCATGCAACCAGCATAAAAGTGACTCATCACCTAATTTCATATTGCTCACAGATTTTGTATACAGAGACTGCCATTTTCCTGCATTGTGCTTGGATGCTTGTTATAAAGTTCTCTTGATATCCATGTAGATCACATCCATCAATTTGCTTTGTGTATCATGTATTACATAAATTACTACTGGATGTTGAAGGTTTTACCAGATTCATTTCTTTTTAGTAACCCCTCCTTCATTGGGAAAAAAATTGTACCATGTACAATTGTCTGAATGCCTGAATGTCTATGCAAGCATTCATCAATGTCTGCATGTTTGTAGGAATGCAGTCAAATTTACTTAATGGAATTCCTCTTGAGGGAATATTCTATTTAACATGAAGAAATGAATAGGACAGAATTGAGTTTAAATTAATGGGATAACATAGCTTAATAAGGTAGAATAAATTGAAACTACAAAATGGTATTTTACTAAGCAGATTTTTCATTAAGTTGCATTCTTATAAGTGGAGTTGACTGTATTATCATGACATGCATCTCACATTTTTACCCCAAATGGCAATGTGGTAAACATGGTGTCATTTCTGTTTTAAAAGTTTTTGTTCAATAACTAGTTCATTGCAATATGTAATTTAAATTCAGACTCTGTCATAGCTGAGTATTGTAGAATTAGGGCTCTGATTCCATCATGCTTGGTCATGGCAGTTCACATCTTATGGCAATGGCAGATGAGTGCCCTACTATGCCATGGCTTAACAGGACCCTGATCCTGATTAAGGTGAGATCCAGATTCCAATTGTTGGATCACTCCTCCTTTGTCCCAAACACCAACTCTTCATATCCTATAGCTTGTCAATATACATGGTATTTGTAAAGTGTTATGAGCAACTTTTTAAAAATTGAATCTGAATCTGAGTGGCTGAATCTTACTTTTTCTTGTATAAATTGACTATTGATAGCCCTAAATATGTTGTCACAGCTTTCCTTCTTCAACTTTATTGTGGTCAAATTAATTTCTGTAGCCCTTGGTCTTTCAAATTCAATAATAAAATAGCTTCTCAAAGCTGCTTTATGGAAGCCCTGTATAATATATTTTGTGTGTATCAGCTGTAATGTCTCAAAGGAGAGTCTATATATCTCTCCTTGGAGATCTCCTCCAGTACATCAGACTGAGCCTTTCACAGCTTGTTATTTTTCATATTATTAAAGTCTTGAAAATGTCTTTTAAAGAAGGCTACAGTCTGTCTAAGTCCAGGAAGAAAAACTTTAAATCAGCAAAGGATGATTTTTTAAAATCTGATTTGTAGTACAATTGTAGTATTTGTAGATATGCTATCAGTCCCCTCCCTGCAACTCCTTAAAAGACTGGCTAGAAAGAAAGGAGGACCCTTGATGGGTGATAAATGGAATTCCCATCAGGTCATAGCAGCCTGGTCCTTTCTGAGCTTGGGCAAATTATATCAACATTCTTCTGCCTTCACACAGTAGCTTTTATTGTTAAATCAAACATTTGGCAATGAGGAACAACAAAACCACTGTAATGATAGTTCCTTCAGTCCACAATCCAGATTATTGGATTTGAAGTCAAAGTCTAAACAAGAAGAGAGCATTTGATGATACTCAAATGTTAATTTGTTAGGGAAAACTAATGATGGAAAAGTGAAGAGTCAACTGAGCATCTTCCTAGTCCTGGGTAACAGCTGTCCTGAGTGTCACATACATTTTTGCTACCTTAAAATCTCTATTGAATTCCTTATCCTATGGAAATATAATTTTTTTTGTAGTTTATTTGGAAGCTTTACATATAGTCAAAATTGAAGGAAACTCGCTTCTGTGGCTTCAAGGAAGCCTGCCTGTTTTTCACTAGGACAGATGCTGGCACAAAGTCAGTCTGTGGAATGGTGTCTGTAAAAGGACTTGATATGTGTGACCTTAAATTTCCAATTCCCAGCTGATCCTGATGAGTATCTCTTCCTGGTTCTGGGAATGGATTGTTGAGTGAGTACACACTTATACCAGAGCATTGGGCAGATGTCAATAGGGTACTTGCATTGACATGTTGGGGAGAGAAAAAGGAATGTCGATCCATCTCAGAACACTGACTTTTGCTGAGTTGTGGGAATGGACTAAGCTCTTGATTGTTGAGTGAGTACTTGGTAACTTCAGGATATTGGCTAGGTGTTGGTGTGGTTTCTGCATTGTAGCTGGAATGCTTGTTTATCTGAGGATTCTGGCTGGTAGCAGGTGCTGGGAATGGACTGAGCTCTTGATTGTTGAGTGAGTATTCAGTGAGAGCAGGGTGTTGGACAGATGATGTGATTCCTGCATTTGCTTCTGATGGAATGAAGATAGATTGTTGATTTCTCTGGCTGTTGATGGGAGGAAATTGGAATGGCCTTGATGAAGCTAATCCTGCATCAGGATATGCAAGGACTTCTCTTGTGCAGACAGTGGTCTTTTTGTAATAATGTTTTCCCACATGAGCACTGATGGACATCTTTTGATGGATTGTCACCTTGCTGGATTGACTTCTGGGTTGCAGCGTTGGCTCTATGTTACCCTGCTGGAGTTCTACCAATGTTCTTTGTGTTTCTGGCTCCTGAATACCTCCAAGATTCCTCACATCCTTCAAGGCTCCCACCTTTGAGATGTTCAGCTTCCCCATGAGATTTTGGTTCCTCAGTGCTTGATTGGCATGGCCTCTGACTGTATTGACTTGCTTCTCATGTGCCTGTTTGGAAGTGCCTGAAGGCAGCCTAGGAGATGTGTATTGGCTAAGTGTCAGTCGTCCTGCAGTAAGCAGAGTAGAATTATATTTGGTTTTTTTTTGTGCTTGATTTGGATTCATGATCTCCTTGGAATGCTCCTCATTTGTTGGTCTTGAAAGTCCAGATGGCTGAAGGCCTGACCAATGTTCCTTTGTAGAGTTCATTGAGGCAGCTTGTTCGTTTTCTGTACCACTTGAAAGTGAATTCAGCTTATTTACTGGTTCACCATTGCTTGCCTTGAGTATTTTTTCAAGAGGTTCATCATCTGACTCTGATTCCTGTAATTAAAAATAGTCTTAAGATCACAATTCAGCAAGTAAATGGGAGTTTCATGTTGGTGAGTTCATGTGAGTTTTCCTTGGATTAAATCCTTTACTTTAGAATTATAATTTGTTGAGTTGCAGGTGAAGGATGCAAAATGCAGTTAAGTTCTACTTGAAACTCCCTTGAAATTGCAGAAAAAGGACAATAAATCCCTCTGTTATACATTTACGTTGGCAATAACATTTTACGGACTCACAGAAACAGTGTTCTCATCAAAGGTTTCCTCTTCTGTGTTCTCATCTATGCCATCTTCAACTTCCTCGTCCTCTATCACAGCCTCCTCTGCATTTTGTGGTATGGTAATCTCAGCAATCTCTTTGAGCTCTTCAGTTTGACCACTAATGTCTTCATCTAATGCGACAAGCGCCTCATCACTGTCATCTCTTTGGACACGTACATTATCTTCACTTTCGTCCTCTTCTTTTTCTGCTGCTTCTTCTTGAGCTTTAACCTCCTTTAACCCTGTAATATTCAGAAATGCCGTTTAACAGGTTGACCGTCACGAGGCGCACCGGTGCGCCTCACTGAATGGGAAAATCTATAGGCCAGCATTGCCGTGGCGGTCAACGTGTTAAAAGTGTAGTTTCACTAAAAAAAAAAAAAAAATAGGTTGCTGCTGCAAGAGGAATGAAGAGAATGAATGGAAAACCTGCAATATTTTCGGGGTGAAAAAAATCAATGTCTTGAATAGGCCAGGGTGCGAGAGCCCTTTTCAGTGTCTGTCTCTGTTGGGCAAGTCCAGCCAAGAACTGGGTGTTCTTCAGCACTTCAGTCTGATGCTGAACGTGCTCCATCCGGTTTCTGAGGTTCGCACATCTCTCATGCTCTGTCCTCAGCTTCTCTTTCAATCTGTATTACAAAACCATCTGCTCATAAAATGGCACGTCTTACGAAATAAAAGTATTCCCCATTAGTCCCAAACTCTTCATTTGGGAATAATTTGTTTCACATAAAGAGAGTCTTACAGGTGAAACTTAAATTTTCTGTTCTAGGTTGGCGCCGACTGAATGTTCTGGGGGAAAATCGAGCAAAAGGGGACATCGCGTAAACCCGGGGTGTGAATCTATATTTAGTTAATCGAGAGAGGTACATGCAGATCATTAATATATGGATTATGTGACTTTATCGGGAAGGGAAGAGCGAGAAACAAAGAAATTTGTGCAGCGCACGAACTTTATATAAACTCAGGGGAGTCTTGGAAAATACCGTATTAGCAGAGAAATCTAAATTACTCCTACACGAATGTAAGAGCGTTCGTAAGAGAACGTAAGATGTGCCGCTCTAAATATCGAATCCCCACATATCGCGTCCGTTTTTTGGAGATTCACTGTTTCAAATCCGGAACCCAGGAATTTGACACATCCAGTATGAAAAAAATCCCGTACATATATACCAAATCCCTTATTTCGTGTACAGTAAATGATGCCAACGAACAATGGTGCTGATTGTATGCAATTACTGGTCAATTAATTTATTCAACCCGGTTGTACGTATATACAGGGTGTTCGTATTTAAACGCAACATAGGAACCTTTTTGTCGCCGGTTTGTGGAGTTCAGAGAGTGCCTTTAGCTCACTGGGTTGTATATCTGGAAGGATGAGACCTATCTCTGGTGTGCTGGTGTGTTTCCTTGAAGATATGCAACCCGTTGGGCTTCATAGCGTTCGGCGAACTCAACCTACAGGCGGCAAAATATTCCCTATGTTGCGTTTAAATACGAACACCCTGTGTATGCGCGCATTACTGAAAAACTGTCGTGTAGAAAGCATGATCTCTGCTTCCTCACGATTGCAGAAAAGTGACGCGTCCGTGATATCTGTGATTGAGGAAATACAGAGGAGAGCATGGTAGTTACATTGGCACCATGCACTTATACAGGTATTGTATGAAAATTCGGATCTCTCAAATGCTTGACAGACCACACAAACGATTGGACTCTCACATCACACAGACTTACGCCTGCACTTATAAGGGATCCTTCAGGAGATAGTTTCATACCACATAACATAAAAACTTTTTTTATATCAACCAAAACATTTC